ATATTATAAAAGATAATTATGTTATTTTAAAATAAGAGAGAGTACCTTAACGAGTTTAAGAATTTTTTGTCATTTTATTTTAAAAGAAAAAAGAGCCGTAAAAATGTAAAAAACTAGAATGCGTTTCCTTTAATGCCCTTCTTTCGTTTCTTGCTTGCTTCAATTTTTCATTCACATTTTCTGTTTGTTGTAAATCACTTGTCTTCAACTCTTTAGTTTGTGGATTTCTTTTCTGAAGTGATATTCACAACCTTTCGCAAAAACTCTAACCCCTACCCGATTTTATTAATTAAATAAATAATTCATTTATTTCAAAAGTGGTAGGAGTATTCTTTCTCGAAATAGTTCCGAAATAAAATTTATTTTTATTAAAACCAAATAAAACTTGAGAGTACTTTTGTAGAGTGCCATTCCTTTTTTTTTTTCCTTAATACAACTTGTTCTAAAAATTATTATTTAAATTTATACTTGCAATATGCAAATATGAATTGAATTTTTTATTTTTATAAAAAGATTCGATAATAATGATCTAAATCTGATAATTCTATATCTTAACAAATTAGATATGAATTATAAGTAAATCAATTTGATAGTGATACGACCCGATTAAAATTATATATATTTATTATATAAATTCTGTATCAATTATATGATATGAACTATAATATTTAATCCAATGACTCGTTTTGCCACTCAACTATTCGTTCAGAAAATAAATCGAATATAAATTTGATTGATTCGTTTCGAATTTAATTCGGTAACTAGGCACGGTCCCAACATACCAGTAAAGGCGAATGCCCTCACTTGATTTTTAAAATTTTTATTTTATATCTCATTTTTCTAAAACATTTATAATAATGTCTCACTAACATTATAATTCACACCTACTAGATTCTTATTATTTTTTTTTACATTTTATATTTCAAATTTTTAAAAATTTATGAAGATGCTGCCACTAAAATTACAATTTATCCCCACTGAATTTTTTTTTACATTTAATATTTTAAAAATTTATAAAGAAAACCTTATTTAAATTATAAAAATAAATCCATTATATAAATTTGCTCCCATACATAAAAAATTGTTCCTTCTCACAAAATTTTCTGATCGGTCGTGACAATAACAGACTTAGCTGAAAAAAACTCTCTTTAAATTTCTGACTATATGTTTCTCGATTTTTTGAATTGCATATAGTTGTTCATAAGCATGGACAACCTTCTTATGAGAATAAAAAAAAAAAAACGTATGTCATGAAGAACTAGTCACTATCACGACCATAAAAAAAGGTCGGGTTGTAAATAATGAAGAAAAGTACAAAAAAGAAAAAAAGCACCATCATTGTGACTTGGAAAATAATGATGACAAAAGCAAGAAAGGCGCGAATCTTTATGCTATATATATATATATATATGTATATTTATATATATACTGTTAAGTGTTTCAAAAATGAATTGGGCACCTGAAAGGGTTACCAAAAAACTTGTGGGGCACTAAATGCTCACTACCACGGCAGATTAGGTGATCAAGAATCAAAGGTGACATATAGAATGGCCTCATCATCTCTGTCAATTCAAAATGAGAACAAGTTCCATGTTCAACACACTTTCATTTGTCTGTAGGCCACCGTTTATCAATTGTAAAACTACTCTTTTTTTTTTTTCTTTTCTATATATATATATTTTTAAAAACTTAAAACTCGTGCATATCATTTTTAGGATAATGTGTATACATCATATTCATAATTCATAATTCTAATGATTGTTAATATTATAAACTATAGAATTCTTAATACGCTTAGTTATTTAAATTGAGAGATGACACACAATTTAATACAATACTAAAATCAATTAAAATTAAACGTTTATTTAATTAAGTGTATTTAATAATATAATTTGAATATTACTAAAATTTATAAGAAATATCACTTATCATTGATATTTATATTACATTTAATTTCTTTTAATAAATAAAATAATAAAATTACCCTTCAAAGAGAGGAAGTTACAAGGATAAAATGACTATTAAAATACGAGGCAAAGTTCAAATTTTCGCCCACGAAAATAGGGGCTTAGAACATCTACAACTTTATTTTATGTTTTAAAAATATATAATTTTGTATTTAATATCCATTCGTGGTCTTGACGTTAATGGTTCCAATCCCAGTTTGTGTTAATTTTTAACAAAAATATTCCTAGTCAAAAGGAATATTTCATTTTCTTAAAGAAGTACGTAGAGTGCAAGTGTTTTACAATGCGGTGCCGTTTCAAAATGGGAGTCTCGTGATAAACGTGTAATGGGACCAACCATCTCTAAAATACTTTTCCACTCTACATATCTTTTATATTAGGAGACGCAAATATAAAAAAAGGATACAGATCTGACATAATATGGATAGGGTGATATGAAAAATCTTTCAAAAAAAATACAAGTACAATAGGAGATCACAATAAAAATTAATAAATTTTATTTACATACATATATAATAATATTAATATTTATCCAATTTTTAAAAAAGGAGATCACAATAAAAATTAATAAATTTTATTTATATACATATATAGAATATTAATATTTATCCAATTTTTAAAAAATATTATAAATTTAACAATACAGGTACGTTATCCTCCTAGAAGTATATGTATTTGTTAACTTTTATATGCTACTTGTAGTCACTAGATAAGGAGTGGTGTGATTTTTTTATTTATTTCTTTATTTTTTAAATTTGTGTTTCAACCCATTTAGTTTATATCAAATAATATAAAATAAATGTCTTGAAATACAATTTAAACAAAAAAAAAAAAAAAAACTAAAAATTACGAAGTTGAAAAAAAAAATCAATTAAAACGTGTTTCAACACATTTGTTCTAAACTTCAACATATAAAATATATATTGAAATCTAAAACAAGTGTATTTAAATTGAATTTAAATATATTAAAAAAATTACAACACTTGCAGTAGAAGCAGATATAGTATACAACATACTGCATCTTAGCTGCTTTCAGTCTAAATTTCGTATTTAGAGTACTCAAAATTTAAAATTTTTGATAATTATTGTAATGGGAGGCTAACAGAGCTTTGAAGGTTTCAAATTCAATCCAAAGATGGAATTTTGTCATTTTTCATACATTTCAAGTTGCTATCATGGTTTCAATAGAATCCAATTTGAATTTCGGTCCATTTCGATTTTGCTCAACATCAGAAAGCCTTAAATTCCAAAACATCTTTCTACTTGATAATTCTTCACGCGATTATCGCAGTTGATCTTAGACCAAGGAGTTCTTGTCCACAACTAGGTCAAAACTACTAACAGTAATGCAACCCAATTTATCATAAAGTCCATCAAAACAACTCGTGTTAATAGTCTTTTAAGATTTTCACAATATTGGTTTTTTTTTTTTTTTAATTAATTTTTTTGGGGAAAATATAGGTGTTTTCATGCGGGCAGAGAAGACAGAAAATAGCCCTACGTAAGTAAATGCAGTTGTCAGAAATGCATGTGGTGGAGTACTTTTCTCCCAAAACACAAGTCACGGTAGAGTTGGTAAGCTACGCCATCATGTCGAACCGATGGACTAGCAGGAGACGGAAAATTGGCCACATCATCGAAAAAAAAAAAAAAAAAAAATTATTTTAAGATTTTAAAAATAAATCAGAATCGAAATCAGAATTAAAATGAAATACTATTTAGAACAAAATTGAATTTAAAGTTAGATTTAAAATAAAATTTTGAATAAAAATAATATTATATCATTTTTTTTCTTGTTTAAATGATAAATGAAATATTTATTTTATTGTCAAATATGTTCCAAAATAATTATACAAAAAAAGTGATTCAACAGTCCACAATTTCCGTAATTGTTTCAGTTCCTTTTTATTAATAATTTCGCTCGTTATATAGTCATAGCCTTAATTTCGCTCGTTATATAGTCATAGCCTTAATTTCGCTTTGATTTGCAGACCTACATTTATCTTTTATACTCCATACAACATTTAAAGAAAGAGAAGGGTCCGTTACCCATCGTTTCTGTCTCTATACAATATACACACACACGGACACAACTTATAAAGTTATAAACTAAGAGGTCTGTGAATTGTTTAATCTATGTATATAATCCTAGATATGGAGAGTACATATATACACAATATAACAATTCACAAACCCATTTGGAGTTCAAGGTTCTTCTTCAATTATTCCTCTCTCTACTTGGAGAAAATATATACACACACATTCATGATTCGCCTAACCAATATATATAACTAGCTTTACGAACCCAGTTGGCGGAGGACAAATTGATGAATACACTTTTGTAGGTGAAAAAAGAGATCCGATTTTCTTCCTGAAAGACGTAGAAATTCGAAGCTTGTAGAGTCGTTTCGTGACCTAATAAGCTTGGAGATTCAATATTTGGGAGAATTTTAGTAATAGGAGACGACAATGGCCGGTTTCAGAAATGGGCGTCCTGTGGCGTCAATTTGGGGAGTTGGGAATAGGAGATATTGGGCAACAAAGTTGACTGACACCTGAAATTGGGAGAATAGAGAGAGAGATGTGGTTGTTGATTTTAGAGGTGTAAAAAAAATTGACTGACACCTGTAATCAGTATGCATTCTTTTTTGTAGAGTTCATGTAATACGGGTTTTAACAACTTGAATGCATCCTATGGATTCTATTAAATTTAGAGACGAAAAAAATATTTGACACTCAAAAAGTTAAATCGGATGGACCCTTGTGACCGGACTGTCAATGCAAAAAAGCAGGTGTGACAAAGTTGATTACTTCTCTCCCAAAAAAACAAAAATAAGTATTAGTAGAAATTTCATAAACTATATAACCTTAGTAATAATGCAAATTAGGACAGAAATTATTAAATGCACGTCACATTCGTAGTGAAAATACCAACCCAACAAGGGGAGACTGGAATGCAAAATTCAGCACACATGTGGCCTTAATTATTACAACGAACAATAGACGTGGCCATATAGCTTTCGGACTCTGGTAGCTCAAATTGTTGAATGTAACCATTTGCTCCGTCACTATTTATTGAAAGGAAAGCAGGTAAAGCTCATAGCTTCTGCACACAGAAATGGAGGGTGATGGAGCAGAAGAGAGACTATTGAGGAAAACTGAGGCAGAAGTAGAAGAGGTAGAGACACTGAAGGAAAAGATATGGAAAGAGAACAAGAAATTGTGGGTGGTGGCTGCTCCCGCCATTTTCACAAGATTTTCGACCTTCGGTATCAATGTGATCAGCCAGGCTTTCATTGGACATATTGGCGCCACGGAGCTTGCTGCTTATTCTCTTGTGTTCACTGTCCTTCTCAGGTTTGCAAATGGTATTCTGGTAAGTTCACACAACCCTCTTTCTTTTGCGGACCTCTTAGTCGTACTTCTTTTTCCAAATTTTTGTTTTTGTTCTCTTAATTAGATGTCTTTTCTGGAAATTGTCAACAAGGAAAATCAAGCACAGTGCTTGGTTTATTTCATTTGAGTATATTCTTCATCTTGCAAAAAAAAAAAAACACAACCCCAACATTTTGATGGGTTTTTCTTGGATTGTGCTTAAATATATAAAACATCATGTTGAAGTCGAATTTGGGAGTTCGGATTCTAGTCTGACTAGTCCTAATTTTTTTATAGATCAGATTAGATTTATTACTTTGTAGAGCTTGAGATTGGTTTGCAGATCGATGGTGTATGAATATACTAGGGAAAACATGTGAAATTTTAGCCGTAGATTCAACTTTTAGTAACAAGACTTTGGATTGTGATTTTAGTTTGACCTCATAGTTAAAGAAATATATAATTTGTAGCAGCCATAAAGTATCAGCAGGGTCTTTATATATATATATATATATATATAGAAAAAGTGTCAGCAGGGTGGGGTATGGATTAATTGCTCCTTCGGGACAAATAAATGGTGCAGTGGGTCTCAGCGTATCACCTCCAGGATCAAGAGTCTAGCCTGAGATTGTACAGTAATAGGTTCCACTCTATTTGCACAACAAAGGCCTTATGATTTACCTACAAATTCTTAAAGTATTACTCCTTAAAATAACAAGAAAATAATATGGAGGCAGAGAGGAGAAAATAAGAAAAGAGAGATGAGTGATGATCTTGTGTAAGATCCAAAACTGACAAATCAATGCACAAATTTAATTCAAGTATAGCTGTAATATTCAGGAATATATATATATATATAGCTGTAATAATCTGACCAGAATGTGCAAAAGTATGATTTGAATGGTCTGAAATTGAAAAATCCAAAATGAGTAGCAGTAACTGTCAGTTTTACAACTATACAATTTAAGTAGGTGATTGTGTCCTCTTCTTTTTCCGCACCGAATGCGGGTTTTAGACACTTGCTAAGCAGTCTATGCTGTGATACTCCTTCGATTCGAGACATGGGTTGATCAGGCCCAGACCCAAACCCGAGGGATGTCAAACAATTAATATGTAACCGAACACAGAATACAAGATAAAATAAAAAATAAAAAAAATAATAAGTTGGTAGAGTGCTAACTGAAAATCCTTAAGATATAAATATTGAAATCCAAAAATCCAAAACTCCACAAGTTCACAACTCGGGAATCCATCCATTGGATCCCTTATTAAAATTCTCCAAAAGATACTGAAATAATAAAAATAAAATCCAAAGCTAACATAGAGAAGATTCCTACATAATCGGAGGAATGAATAGCTGTATCTTCTCTGCACGTCCAAACTCTAACCCTGAAACTGATGAGCACCTGAAAAATAAAGAAGTGGGTCAGGCCCACATGCAAGTCCTGATCTACTACAATCCAAACAGTAATCCGATACGCAGATACATCCTAGGAAGACTCAACAATATCTAGAGTAGTCCATATATGTATATAGTACACACTATAGGACGCTCGCTAGTTCAGTAGGTTTGTCTCAGCCTGAATAGAAGGCAACATGCGAATACGCACCCTAGGGTGGGCATGAGTATTTAAACCTACCAGGGAACAACACCTATGTCCAGTTATCCATCCTAGGCGATATACGCGCCCTAACCATGGTCATGAGACTCAAGCTCATTCCACGGCACCATATAATATATATATAAAGTCCGTACTCCTCCTAATATACAATACCATACATCCGTGTAGTGGTCTGATATATGTATAACAAATCCATCCTGAAATTCCAGTAGGTCATTCAATTCACAACTGATATGACACATGTAGATGATGGACTTAACCTTTATGATTAATCCATACCTTGATCCAAATTAGGAAGGACTTAATGTTGGAATTAGTCCATACCTAGTATGTCACCGTTCCATATCGGTACATACCATCCTCCAGTTAACAGTGTTGATAAAACAGTACTAGATAGTCATCAACCCAACTCCCAAATTATGCACAAACCAAATTAATCCATAATTATAAAACTTAGGCATTCAGTCCAGGCCTAGAAATTATATTCCAACCATTAAATTTGTTATTTATAAAACATAGCATTTACGTCATGCAACAAGTCCACTAATTGATAAAATTAACTGATTTGTTATATCAATTTACTTCCAACCAAACATAGCTAATTCCAAGAATTTACTATGCTTAGAAAACTGTGTAAATATAATTTAAACAGTATTAAACCAAGAAATCCAAATTACAGTCCGTTAAATGACAAACAAAGACATGAAATTTACTTATCCAACCATTACCATAACTGATGCAATCTATATCCCGTTTACACGATCAGTTAATTCCATCCATGCATACATTTGACTATACTTCTATATGTTTGTATCACAACATAAACATGATTAGCAGTTTAAGATTTGGCAGAGGAAGCAAAATTCCAAAATCAGTAAACAACAGAAATTTAATTTCCATTCATCCTCCTACCAGTTTTCTATCTAAGCTCGGATTAATTCCATCCTCATTATTCGAATGTAGGCATGTTCCCCAACACTTTTATAAGTTTTAAAACTTAAGTCTCAACCTTCAGTAGCTTTCAATTAATTTAAAAAAAATCAAACCTCAGCCAAACGGACCACAAAATGCAATTTCTGGACAGTTTAAGAGAGAGCAGGCTCTAGAAATTAAAAGAGCCTGCTCTTCTTTTCTTCAGAGCCGGCTCTAGGCTCATTAGAGCTGGCTCCACAATATCCTAGAGCCGGCTCTACCTTCTAGGAGCCGGCTCTAAGGGTTTTTCAGAGCCTGCTCCCTTTTCCCCTTAGCAGCTTCGTCCGTTTCATCGTTTTCTCTGATTTCTGTGAGTACCAGTTCTTGTAGTAAACTTTTAGTGCATGTTCTAAGGTCTAATTCAGTTCCAGATTGATTGTAAAACAATGATATACCATCAAACTTGAATTGAAAACGACACACTACATAACGGAGCAAGGTTACAGAATTACAGTTTCTTTACTATCTTTCTGAAACAACGAAGAACAGTTTAAATTTCATGAGTTTAAACATTAATTAAACATGCATAAAGGTTATAATTAAGCCTTAGTTTTAATTCCTGGAGTCTTCCTAAACATGCACAGAACACAGATTAAAGAGATAGAGAAGAACAAGACTTGCCTTTGAGACTTTAGATTAAAATCTCCAACCGTCGTCTCTATCAAATCCGGCAACGTCGGTTGTGCTAAACTACCTCTACTGCTCCTAATTCAGTCCCAAACTCCTCCTTGAATCCCTCCTTTAATCTTTTAAGGTTCTCTCTGTATCTTGTCTCACAAAAGATTCAGTTGCTCTCTGTATCTCAAGGTCTCTCTGTTTTTACAGAATTTGACTTAGTTTTCTAAAACCCTAAACCCCAGTATGCTTATATTTATAGGTGAATCCTGATAACCCTAAGTCCATAAAGATATAACTCAGCCCATAAGTACCTAGGTTATAATCAACGTCGGCTACCCATGTAAATTTTAAACCTAACTTACGATAAGTAAATAAATTAAAAAAAAATGAAAACAGTTAATTAATAACAATTCTATCAGGTAATTAACCAAATAACACAATTTAATGAAATTAACGCCAAATAAATAATTAAAACAGTTAACTCAAATAATCAAGCAATTTAAAAAAAAAACATTTAAATAAGACAATTAAGTCAATCAACTAATTAAAACACTTAAACAAATAATTCCTATTAAATAATCAAATTAAAACAATTAATTCAACTAATCACACATAATCAAATAAAATAATCACACATAATCAAATAAAATGCAGTTAAATAATAAAATAAAAAAAACCCAGGAATATTCTTTTAAACTAGGGGTATTACATTCTTCCCCCCTAACAAAAGGAATTCCGTCCTCGGAATTCGCTCTTACCTTCTTCCAATATTTCAGGAAACTGCGAGCGAATAACATCCTCCCGTTCCCAAGTGGACTCAGCCTCATTATGATGATTCCACTGAACACGAACCAATGGAATAACCTTGTTACGAAGGATTTGATCCCGACGGTCGACAATACGACACGGTGGCTCCAAATAAGTTGCATCCGGTTGCAACTCAATCTCCCCAACATCGATATGCTGATACCGATCCTCATCTCGCAGAAATTGCCGCAACATGGACATATGGAATACGTTGTGTACGCAGTCCAAATTATCCGGCAGTGCCAACCGATAAGCAACAGCTCCAACTCGATCCATAATCATGAATGGACCGACAAACCGCGGAGACAACTTCCCTTTCTTCCCAAAGCGCATAACACCCTTCATAGGATATACTATGGTCCGATATAATAGACAATGGAATGCCATGTAGCTTCACAATCTCTGAAATGTAAAGCCTCGCCAACTGCTCCGAAGTGTAGTCAGTGCAAATAGGCAAGAAATGAGCTGACTTGGTCAACCTATCCACAATGACCCATATGGAATTATGCCCCTTGAAAGAATTTGGCAACCCTTCCATAAAATCCATAGATATGCTTTCCCATTTCCACTCCGGAATTGGTAGTGGCTGTAGAGCTCCTGGCGGCCTCTGATGATCAATCTTAACCATCTGACAAGTATTACACTGAGAAACAAAAAGAGCAATGTCCCTCTTCATACCTGCCCACCAAAACTGCCGTTTCATATCTTGATACATCTTATCGCCTCCTGGATGAACAGAGAACTCAAAGTGGTGAGTCTCAGTCATCACATCCTTCCTCAAATTATCAGCAGAAGGTACCACTAACCGTCCCTTGTACCTTAAACCTCCATCAGCCCCAACATAGTAGAATGGAACCTCTCCGGAAGCTATCTCTGCGACCTTGTCGACACACTGCTGATCGGTGAGTTGTGCTTGTAAAACCTTGCGAATGATGGAAGGTGTAACCACCATGCAAGCCATAAAAGCGTCTGACAACTCATC